TCTCTCTACTCTTTCTCTCTCTCTCTCTCTCTCCTCTCTCTCATCACCACTTCACTTCATCTCTCTCTCTCCCTCTCCTCTCTCTCTCCTTCTCTTCTTCTCTCCTCTCCTGCAGCCCCGTGCTGCCACAGTTCGGCCGTGCCTGGTTTTTTGTCAGTGATCATAATCCCGCCATTAAAACCAGTAGGTTGTATCTTAGACTGAATGTCGCGGATACCTGATCTCTTAGTTGTTGTTAAGTGAGTTTCTGGTTTGGGCTATTTTGTGCTTTCGATCAGTAGCCTGATATTGTCCGATACCTGATCTCTCTCTTTTCTCGGGCCCCTTCCCTTGCTTTCTTCGCTATCAGCAAAGGAACGCCTTCACGTGCATTTTCGTCTTCGATTCTTATTTTTTGCTTTTTTTTCTTATTTTCTTTCTTTCTTTGCTTATTAACATCAAAAGTTTCAAGATCCTGTCCGTGGTTTGCTGGAGGAAGGGCCCTCCCTCTTTCGTCGTTTGATTTCGAGGGCATTTTCACGAGCTTGGGGTTCCCTTTAGTTGTATATAATATAATATAAATAATATATATAATATATATATATATATATATTATATATATATATATATGTATGTTGTGTGTTTCATTTTATCTACAAATATTAATAATGGATACGTAAATATATAAATAAAATAAAATGTTTATACGTATATATAGATTGATAGATAGATAGACTATATATTAGCTTGTGTATAGAATGTTTATGAAATATATGATGTATAATAGATAATAGTATACAGATATTAATATATAAATAAACATGTAAATAAATATATATTGTGTGTAAGAATACTCGTGTCTGTCAGAAAATCATCAGCAGGCGTGGCGTTTGCAGAAAGCGACGCGCCTTCCCTCTTTCTGCATTCTCAGAGCCAGAAAACGAGCGCGGACTCCTCTGTCAGCTGATTGCGAGCCATTGGCCACTGTCCCGTGCTCTGATTGGCTTAACGAGTACATGTCTGGCCCTTTGATATCGCTCGTTCCATCGTTTGTTTTGTAAAACGTCCGTGACTTTATTACGAAGAATTTCAGTTCTTGCACGTGCGTGTCCTGCCTGTGTGGTTGTGTGTGTGTGAGTGGGTGTGGTGTGGGGTGTGTGGTGTGTTGTGTGTGTGTGTGTGTGTCTCTGTCTGTCTGTCTGTCTGTCTGTCTGTCTGTGTGTGCGTGTGTCTGTGTGCGTGCGTGCGTGCTCGCGATATGTTTACTGTGTGTGTAGGCACGTGCATGACCTGCAATAATGGCCCCTGATGAGGTGAGTGGAGGCGACCGTCCTTGTGTCGCCATGCAGGTATCATGAGGCGTGTTCTGGTGACAGTCCCGCTCGCAATTCCCTTGGAAGCCGTAGTTTTTGCAGGGGAAAAAGTGTACGCCGTTTCGATTTTGGAAACTAATCTGAAAGCAAAATCCGTTTATCTCTTTCTGTTAGTCCCCTATCCGAATGGCAGGGCGGAATAGCACTGCCTTGGCAATGATAGGCCTGCAAGAAAGGAAAGTGAGTGTGCAAGGAGGGCTGAAGTGACACCGGAGACAAGATAATGGCGAGGACCCGTCCGTTGACCAGTTAATAAGCGATCTGTTGAATTAGAGATAGCGGGGTTGTAACCTAAACTTAGCTACGGTACGGTAGTTTGTGTGTGTGTTTTTAGAGGTTATAAAACTGATAACTGGATGCGTTATCTTGAGTAATGCGACTGGTTCTATCGCGGTTGCTTAATCACTTGATCCAAATCACTGAGTTAGATAATGCAGGCGTTAGATTGACGAAGGGGTGATTGATTGATCCCTGTCCTCCACGCAGGAACTTGGCGTATATGAAGATAAACACGAATACGATATCAGTCTTCTAAGTCATTTAAATAAAGTTGAGAGCGTCGGCCAAGCGATTAATCTCTTTGAATATGGCTAATACGAAGCAAGAATGCGAATCGCCTTTTTTGATGTTCTATAAACGAAATTCTGGGTACGTCTCTCTGCGCAAGCGCGGTGAGTGGCTCTCTTTTGCTTATATATTTTCCTTTTGACTTGATTCATAAGTGGGATTTTTATGTGTTTCTTATATTTACACCTGTCTCAACTCTTCGGTTTTGTGTCCATCATTTCTGTCCACAAAATGAGAAAAGCCCGCTGTTGGAAAGGATAGATCGTGACGTTTTTGATGTTTTTTTTTTTTTTTTTTTTTTTTTTTTTTTTTTTTTTTTTTTTTTCGCTAACGAGGAAGCTATGTGCGCCTCGAAACGTTGTTCGTTGTTCCTTTCCTACTCAGGCTGCGGATCATTGCGAATTTTGAACATAATCTACCACGACTGTACTTTGTTCATCTGCATTCGTCATTACCTTCTTTCCTTGTGTTTTTTATCTTTCTTATTTTTTTATCATACCTGTTTCTTATGCTTTCATTCGTCTCTATAATTTCTGGGAGGTGTAGCGTTGGTTAGTTTGTTGCTTAGTTGGTTAATAGGATATCAAAAAAAGTTATGAACATATTTTTATGATTTTTTCCTAGAGGTGTGTCTCGGCTCAGTTCAGATGTCATTAAATCCGGATCATGAGCGGTACAGGATTTTTTTTCTTTCTTTTTAAGATTTCATTAACATTGCCATTGCTCAAGTATATCATTGTG